TTTAGGTAATAAACAATTCATGGTTTCAATGGGCAATCATTCATCAAAAAATGTAATATTTCTTGTGGAGTCCATCAAGGTTCAGTTTTAAAGCCATTGCTTTCCTCTTTGTACGTTACCTCTCGATGTGATGTCATTAAGAAAAAAAATATCAATTTTCAAAACTTTGCTGATGACACCCAGTTATACATTTCCATTCCTTCTGATGATCAAGACTCTGCAGACAGACTAACCAGCTGTGTGCCAGTGGATGTCACAAAATTCTAAACAATTAACCACAAAAAACGGATAATACTGATCTTTAGTACCAAAACTCGGGGAAAATGCTTTATGAGAAACTTCGTTCTTTAGCTTCACATACCAAACCTGAAGTACGAAACCTGGGTGTGATCTTAGACTCTGAGCTCTGTTTTATCTACATGTAAACACAAACACTAAAGTAGCTTTTTATCATTTGAGAAATATCACTAAAGTTCAGCCTTTTCTGTCTCAGAGCGACGCAAAGAAACTTGTTCATGCAATTGTTACAAGCATAGTTGATCACTGTAATAATCTTCTTACTGGACTTCCTAAGAAAACAATACATCCCTTACAACTCGTACAAAACGCGGCAGCACGTATCCTAACAACACAAAAGAGAGATCATATCATATCTTATGTTCAGCTCTCTTCTACCTTTCACTTAAATCATTTATTGCCTTCCTCTTTTTTTGTCAATGTCTGTGGCATAGCCCTGATTCTTTCTGCTCTGCGATCAGGATCAGCATCCCTATGCTGTTTGTAAAGTTGCTGCTTCTCAGCTTCATTTAATTTAGCCATTACTGACCAAAAAAGAATTAACAGTGATAAGAAATGTTATAATAATGAAATCTCTGTCGTATTTTATGCAAAGGAACTCAATGAACAGCTTTGAATAACATTTATCTATGCACAGCAGTCACTGGTGTTACTGATCATCACTGGTGTTACACATAAGAAAGGTAACACCAGTGACAGTAACACCAGTGACATTTTTCAGGAAAAATGCATTTAACAAAATGTCTGTTACAGTGTATCAAACCACATGTTGTCAATCATGGAATATCCACTAAAATATGTAATTTAATCCATTTGTATTTGATTTTTTCACCTCACCGTACCTAAGAATAAAGTAGGTCATGACATAAACTAAAAGCTTCATATGAAATCATGAGCTAAATGAGAAAATTTCTGCTAACTGAAGGACACAGTGGACTAACCATGTGCTTTTCTTCATAGATCTTTAGAAAATAGGTAAAAGGAAGTCAAGTGATGTCATCAGTGTGATTTTTATTTCAAAATAAGAGATTTTTTGTTACACGGCAACACCAGTGACATAACTCCTGGGGACAACAACTTTCATTATATATTTTCTAATATTTTTTGGCATTTGTTTTCTTTATGTCAGTTAAATCATATATTTCATAGTCATGTATAGATTATTACAGTTAAAATGGCAGAAAAATATGTTTTTACCTCAAAATATGGCACTCACCCTTTACACATGGCACTTCTGTGGTGCTTGACATTCTACATGATTAATTTAAAAACCAATATTGCAATATTGTTTTTCAAGTGTAATTTATCTATTAAGGCTAGGGACACAAAAATGGATGTTTCTGTAGAATGACCCAGATAAAAATAATTAACTGGTAACACAATAATGTAATGTGTATAATGTGTGATTTGCAGTTTGATAATGACCCAAAACAGTCTTTTTCCTTTCATGATGTATTTTACAATGTGTTGAAATGTATAAACACATGTACACATTACACACATGCATTTTAGCCTAATGAACAACAACTCTCAGCTCTAGATGCTTTTTATTTTACTGTGTGAAGCCAGCTGGAGGCTGAAACATCTGATATTTAAATAATAGTCCAGTAGGATGGTTATGCAATAGATCTATGCCGCACTTTTGGCATTATTCATCTGAATAAACAAGAGTGTTTTTTGCAAGCTGCTGAGGGGCTCAGACATTTTGACAGGTTGTGCAGATTACACAAGCACAGCAGTGTGCCACAGAGTAGTAGAACATGACTGCAGGAAGTTTCATAGGGCTGATGAGGCTCAGCATGGTCTCATATTACCTCTGATGTAGGTCACACTTGAATATCCTTACTTGTTTCGTTCTTAAGTCATTTGATTTCTATTACAACCCTTGTAGAAAGAAGCAGAATTCTGATTTAGTTCACAGCAAAATTATGTGTAAAAATCTTATAAGACCAAGTACTAGGATTATATCACTCTCTGAGAAATCGCATTTCTTTCATCATGACTTTAAGATATCAACAACAAAAACATGTGGGATTTCCTCTTGGGATAGCTACTACCCAGCTTTGATTCTTAACAATAAGCTCGTTGGCCACTTAACCTTCCAGATGCCTCTTTTCTGGGTGAGTTAGGTAACGTTTCCCATAATGCATCACTCTGACCTACTTTTGTCCATGTTACATGATTTTTAACTGCAGGGTGGGGGAAGGCTAGGTGCACCCTCCAAGTTCCCAAAGCAGTCGTCCATCAAGTGACCTTCTTCTTTCAGTTGCATAACCCAACTTGGCAAGAAACAGGAACCTTGGGTTTCTGAACAAGGCAAATGTCTGCTTCTAAAGATCAAAAGGTTTGATGACTGATCCAATTAAAGACAGATGCTGCAAATGAGCATTGATTAACTACCTCAAAAACGCAAACAAAAATTTCACTCACACTACTATTTCTATTTATATATATAAATATACATATATACACACACACACACACACACACACACACACAAATAAATAGATCCAATTTTTTTTTTGCTTTTTTACTCTAAATAAAAAGCAAAATTTCTGTTCTCTTTTGGAAACTTTGTTGTCTATTAACTTATGTGTTTACTTAATCACACACCCTGTTGCCATAGTATGCCCATGGAAAAAAAAGAAAAAAAAATGCCCACACACATGCTTAACCCCGTTTCAAAGACTTTATGCAACCTGTGTATGAAAGTGCCCCCATTATGTAAGCCTTATTAAACATATCCTGCTAACCCCTCCCACTTGACACAGATCTGGCGAATTGGATCCATTTTTTCCCTTTGCGTCCAGTTGGTCAGAGACATGGCTGGAGTGCAAGGTTATCCCATGAGTCCACCAAAAAGGGCTGGGCAAAGTCACAGCATGTGGGTTAGTGGGGCTCCACCAGCATGGAGCCCTTCCCTTTCTCCACGTGTGACCTACATACTAAAGGTTTGCATAAAACTCAACTTGCAGCTCTTGTAAATGTGCTGTTCCTCTCCACAAGACACTGTCCAAATCCCACCAGCTTCAGAAGTAAATGACAGTTCAGGTTTGTGTAGGTTTGGCCTACTTTATACTATGAGTTTTGATGTACCATTCACCTTTTCACCCCTCATTCACATAAGTAGTAAACTGACAAGTAAATCAACTGCACTGTGCTGACCCTGGATATGCTGCTTCCTTCTTTCAATGAGAAATCAATACAACATGATTATAAAACACTATTCTTTTTGTTTAAATTACATTTATTTCATGTAACAATGCACTGACTGCCTACTAAAACAAAACACAAATAAAACACAAGATGCCTGTCATACATTCAGTTTCATAAATGGAGATAAACATTTAGAGGCATTGTCATAACCAAAATAAGACTCCATGGTCACTTAACAATGTAGGTCCAAATGATTCAACGGAAGAACTACTAGACCTTGTCAGAGGTAGGTCAACTGAGTTTTAGTGCAAGGTTCTAAACAGAGTTTACGGAACTCAAGAAATTTTGCTTTTTCTTTTTTTATTTGCATAAGCTCTTTGTATTCAGAATTAATTTTGGAAGAAATGTCAACAGTAAAAAATCTGAATGTTGGTTCTGTTCTCTACTACAGTTAATACTACATCTATTTAATACTTCATGGTTTTATTATATTGGAAGGAGGGTATTAACAATTTTTGATATGTATTAATCCGAGGAACAAATTACACTGGGGATTTCCCATTGAAATTCTCTTGTAGTCTATAACTAGGGTTCATTTGTGTCCAGAAAAAACACCCTATTTGTACTCAATTTGGGGAATTTACATTAGAATTGGCCATAATACAATCTGCCATATACACAATAAGCTACATTTGAGTACTATTTTATGCTTTGGATATTTCCCCTATTTTTTTATTATGATTCAACACCTGCATTGTGGAAGAAATCTGAATTAAGGCACTATATATACACATATCTTTTTTATTTGCTTTGTTTTCAGGATTTTTGAAACAATTTTAAGAGATTCTGGTTAAAAGGGAGCAGACATTACAGCATTTCAATCTTGTAGGTGCCAGAGTGTTACTTCTAATACAAATTTAGCTTCAAATTTTTTTTAAAACCTTTTTAATTTAAATTCTGTAATGCTATTTCAAATTTTCTGATCATTTTATCCAGTACACTAATTTTTTTCAGAGAAAAGGCATGGCCACATCAGCAATTAGATTGGTAACGTCATAAATGTTTAAATACTGACAGCTTGAGGCATTCAAAATATTACATGGCCTGAATAATGAAAACATTAACTGAGGTCATGTTGCAACACAACAAATCAAACAGTTACTGTTAATTTCACTACTAAGAAACAGAAACGTAATGGTTCACTTAACCGTAAACTTTTAAATCTGCATATGTAGTCTCCCTTTTAGCAAGGTATACACAATATTGCTGTAAAATAGACATTTGTGCAGTTGTGCATTCTTACTACCACTGCCGGGTTTTATTTGTTTTTGCAGCTCATCACTTTAAATGAAGCTGCTTTTATGCATAATATACTGAAATGCATTGCCTACAACGTAATATTAATATGATTTTCCACCTTTCCTCTTGAAGAATACTCCTGGAAAAACATTCAGAAAGCTTCAGTGTCAAATAAATTTTACCGAATATGTCTCAATAGGCAAAGTCTCTGGGTCTTCTGGCATAAATTGTACAGGTTTCCTTGGTTATCTATGAAATCAATTACTCATTTACTGTAATAATCTATTTTGCAGGCCTCCATGTCCCTTATCAAAGCATGTATCCATATTAAGAATTTGAAAATATTATAAAGTTTGTACCATCACTCATAAATTTACTTAAGCTCTTACCACCAAAGTTCTTACAGACCAAAGAGGTAAATTCAGGTGATTATTGAATATGTACAACTTAATCTGCAAATAGTTAGTGTTTCTATAGGTTTTTTGATGTTGTTCAAATTGTATTTGTACATTTCTAAACATCAGTTCAAAATGTAATCTTTGTCTTAAAGTAAACAGTGTGTCAAAATCACACACATTTATAAATAACAATAATAAAGAAATACAAAATAGCCCAAAAACAAATATGAATGAAAAATTTAAGTGTCCTGAAATGCATCAAGTGATCCATCAGGTCCAGAACTAGGATCCATAATCTGCATAGGCCAGACAAAATCTTCAGTTGATACTACCATTTAATTGAAGCCCATATCTTCCTGATCAGAGGACTTTGTATATATAGAGAAGGCTTAATAGATTTTGGTCATGAGAGGACTATGAGGCAGAGGCCTATGAAAAGAGGCAGCGAGGCAAGGGGGAAGTCACCGAGAGCGATTGCGTGCCATCAGGAGAAGCACTCGGCGGATGCCGGTCAGGCGATCTTTAAGAGACGTGAGCGCCAGAAAGGGCAGCTGAGCTCGGCCTTCAAGTGGAAGCACTGCCAGAAGCCACCAGCACCATGATGGCCCATTGGGACTTGCCTGTACAAAAGTCGAAAACAACTGTCAGTCATGACTGCCAAACTACAGTATACTCCATCAGAAAATATAGTAACATTCTCCCATTTAACCCTTCTAAGGGATGAAGAAACACTAACATTTCTTATTTTAATTTTTCTAATGTCTAATGTCATTAAATCACAAGTAGGCCAAAACATTTGTCATAAACACAGTCAGTCGTGTGTCACAATGAATCATTTAATGTTTAAGTAAGCTGGTCTGCCTTGCTGAAAACATTGCCTGTTTTCCACTTCAGTGTTTTCCAAGCTCAAACTCAGCACTGCACAGTTTTAGTGTTTCCCGCTTTAACACACTCACTTCAACTCAGGAAGGATTTGTTAATAAGCCAATTAGGTAGATTAGGCATATCAGAGGAGGGAAAACACGAAAGGATGCAGGCCAGGGCTACTCTAGGACTGGGAAACGCTACTTTGCTATTTCCTAAAAGAATGCCTAACTGTAAGAACGGTAAATACTCTATGTCTAGGCCACTGCATCTATGCCATCAGATTCCTTATAGAGGATCTAGAGGATTTTAAAAGTCTTGCTACTTTGACCACAGGATCCCCTACCACAATTCAACACAATACAGCCTGCCTCTTTCAGAAATATTAACTTTTCTCACAAGCCTAAATAGGATGCCTAGGCATCTGAAGTTATTAAGGTTGATGAAGTTGCCCATGTCAGATTGGTAATGCAACAATGCCTTCTTGAATTTAACACTTAACTTCTGTACTTGACTCAACTTCAGTTAAACTATAAGTTCTTGCTTTCAGATGTATTTACTGTTCATGTCTGCAGCCAAAAATGTTTCCTTAACAAAGACTGTTCAAAGTGATAACATATCTGAAAGAGTACTTCTACTTTTGTAAGAACTTTTATATTTTCTGAAATATAAATATAATTAGAGGACTTTATTTTGTACTTTCTCTACTCCTGATCGACAGATTCCAGCATGATTTTTATTTGTTTAAAGTTTGGGCACCCCTAGTCAAGTTACATGGAAATAAGTACACATCCACAGAAAGCACACCTCTGAACTAATGCAATTACTGTTCATGTGCTAAATTTAACATTAATAAAAAAATTAAATGTGGCCTGTACAAAAGTTACGGCACATTTTATATTTTGTTTTTTTCCTCATACATCAAACTCAGCAAATAAACAGAAATTGTGCAGTAAAATTTGCTGACAAATGCCATATTTACGGGGATCTCTCTGTAGATGATGTATTAATTTATTTTCACTTAAAATTTCATCAAAGAATGTAATTTGACCAGGGATACTCAAACTTTCGCATGTGACTGTTTCTGTGGTAAAAGTCATAATAAGTGATACCTGTGGATCAGAATCCTTCTCTGGCATAGGTCCAAAGTGGCCTTCTATCCGCTCCTTCTGTTCTGCTTTGAGAGAGTTCACCCAGACCAAGGCTTGGTCGTACACCAGGTCATGGAGTGTTTGCAACTCTGCTTCAGCATCCCCGTTTACCTATTAAGCAAAAAAAGAAAGAATATTTAACAGAGAAAATAAATACAGTGGTATATTTTTTCCTTTTCTTTCTTTAGTTTTACTTGTCTTGATTTGATTGTCTGTTCTAGCCCTTATTTTAGAGTGCCCAAATGACTGATCACATGGCTAGCAGATGCCTACTTCAGTTAGACATTTCCTGACTTACAATAGAGGGGTTCTTGTCCATGATAGTGGCACAAACAGCTACTTGTATGGCTTTACAATAGAACGTATATTGTCTTTAGTATCTAGGCACAAACAGCTACTTGTATACCTCACAACAGAATGTTTGTTGTCCTGACAATCCTTAACAGATGAAGCAATAGGTGCAGGGAAACACTTAATATAAGGCTGGACCTGAATATTGTAATTTTTGGATTATGATATTTCTGGTCTTTTTTTTTGCTGTAATGGATGTAAGCTATTAATAAAGGAGACTTGCAAAATACTGTAATGCAGCTTTATTTTTTATTTGATGAAAACAGCACCAAACACGGCAAGAAGGAACACAGCCTCTCCAGCACTAACAGCTAAGAACACAGCCTCTTATCTACTCTGGAAAGCCCACCACTCCACCCATATTCAGGCTCTTCAACATAAAAGTTGTTGTAGGAATAACACTAAAACAGCCATAAACAGCCATAAACAAACATTTCTTCTCTTTAAAATAACAAAACTACTTATAACTTGGCGTGGCGATGCCACAATACATTTTGGCACATTCTTGTACTATATTTATATTTTCTAATTGCACTGTTAAAATGTGGAATTATACACCATCTCAGCTCAGGCACCTCACATCCTGCTCTCTCACAGCACTGAACGTCACGCTAACGCAGTGCTAGATAGCATGTATTTCCAGGGAGGCTGCAAACAGTGCTGTGCTGTACTGGAGCCTAAATAGGGCCGCAATGTATGTCACTCATACCTGAAGTTAGACCCCCTCCATGAAGCGCCAGTTAACCAGTGCATACGCTGTGCTGTTACCCCCTAGCCCGCCGCTAAGAGAGGCTAGTAGGCCTGGTAAACGGAGTAAAGCAGTTAGCCTGGAAATTTGGTTTTACATCAGATGTGCTTTCAACATTGGCGTTAGACACAAATTTTCTAAACAACTTTCTCAGCCCCCCACCCAAGCCCAACCCCCAGAGGCGAAACTTTGAATATTCACTGCTGATTACTGCCTAAGCTCTGGACTTATTAATTCAGGCATGGAGACTTGTTAGTCAGACAAGTTGTGACAAGATGGACCGAGTGCTCTCTGAATAAAGATCATTTCTGAAAACACTGCTCTTCTGAACTCTCTTCACTTGGCAAAGAAAAAGATTTATCAACAATTTAATACGATATGCTGGCCAACACACCAGCGCCAATATCTCACAACATGGCAAGACCTTCAGTGGATTATTGTGAATATGATTTTTATTCTTCGCCTTTAAAGACACTGCAAACAAAACAACTTGTTTATTTACATTCTGTAACACTGCCAGGTCAAGTTATAGATAAAAAATACTTCAAAATTCCTTACCTTAATATCCTCCAAGTACTCAATGTCTGCAGTATTGTATCCATCCCTGTGGCTATGTTGGACTACTTTGAACCTCCTCCTCCCAATGGTGTCCACTACAGAGCGCCCATCAGCAAAGGACTCCAAATTTCTGATCTCAAGCATGCAGCCATAATCAGTAAACCTAGACAAAAATGGCCATATTTAGTAAAGTAATAAAATCAATTACATACTTGTAGAAGAGTTGAGTCATTCTAGTTTTCTGGTGTTCATTTTTTATTTCTTTTTTACCCTTTGATGGGGTCGCTGAGGCACATTCCAAATTGTTTTGTACCCGTTTCCATGCATCTCCGGATCATGAGCCGATAGCAAGGCTCAAAGATATGCAGTGGGCAAGGGACCGTGGGGAAGGCCATGGTGCAAACAAATATAGGCACATTCTTATTTAAACTGTAAAAGAGATTGTAAGACATGTTCAGGTGCAGTACTTGGTGCCAAAAATCACATTAAATCAGGCTAAATGAACACATTCACATTGATCCCACTGACATGTATGTATTGCTCCAAATACAAAATTAAAGATTTTGGAAAATAGAATTTATAAAAATGCAATGTAATTCTGCAAAGTGTAGCAAAACCCATAAGTCCATGAGCATTTGAGCAATTAAAAAACAAAATTCCAACAGGGATAGCCTCTGGGGTATCAATACGTATGAGCTCTCCTAAATCTGTCAGAGAAACTGAAGTAGAGCAAGCTTGTTTGGTAGGGTAAGACAGTAAGAGGGATGCTATCAAACCACACTTTAGCAAGCTGAATCCTTACTTGGATAGTTCTGCAATTTCCTCTTCATTAAGCTTCTGTCTGTCTACAAGTTCTGCAGGAAAGTACTTGCATATGATGTCCTCCATCAGAATAGTCTTACTGTACTGCCCTTGTGCCAAGTACTGTAAGAGAATAGGCATACTGTTAATAGTGTAATAATCATATGCAGTATCTAGGTTGATCCTACCACTGTCAACACTAAAGCCAGAAACATACTCAACGCAAGTACGCAAAACCCCGTCTGAGTAGCTCGAAGCATCTGTGTTCGCATCCTTGCGTGAAGTATGTTTCAGGCCTAAAACTAAAAACTGAGTTTTTTTAGAACAACCATTACACAATGCGTTTTTCAAACATATCGTTGGTCATGAAGAGGTTATTAGGAATGTTTTGCAACTTACTTCTGAAAGGTCTTCCTTGCACAGAGGGCATGTAGGATTGTGGTCCAAACATCGCTCCAGACATTTCAGACAGAAAGTATGACCACATGGTGCAGTCACCGGCTCGTAGAAGAGCCTAGGAGGCACCATTAAGATGGAGTAATTACATAAAATTGTACATACTGTACAGGCACGGCAATTTTTTAGCCTACATCTGAACTTTTCGGTGCACATTGATTAAAATTAATAGATCATGTGAAAAAAATTGTGTAACAATTGCAAAACGGTACCATAAAGTCGTTCTAATAAAAGATTGAAGACCTTTTCAAAAAATTTAAATTTAAAATAGTTTATGACGAAACATGCTTTTTCTTGCAACCCTTATTTTCAAACCAACCTATGTAATACATAATAAATCAATGACATATAACCAATCTGTGTAATATATAAATAGAACAAGACATGTATAACACAAATATGTGAATATTTGGAAAAAAAAGGTCATATCATGACCTCACAATTGAAAATCATAACGTTTCTAAAATTATGCATATTGCTGCACCCCTAAAAATAATCCTGCTATAATAACAAAATATTTAGAAAGTGCTGAGTAAATCTATATTTTTTAATGGAACTTTTTGCCTCTCTAAAAGCTTACCACATCAAATTACAGTTATGTATAGAACTTGTAGGAATGGTATGTTCTCAGCTATATAAATACCTCATGCATAGTGAGCACTCCAGATCAGATGGGTCAATCAGATCAGCAATCACACTGCCCCATGTTGTTCCCACCTTTCTCTGCTCATCTAATGAGAAAACAAAAACAGCAACACTGTTCAGGCATGTGGCGTACAAAAAAAAATGAAGCAAAACAGAACTTGCTTTATTCACATTTGCATATTTTTAAAACTTGTGACAGACAAATCGACATTATTTCAATAAGGCTTTATCCGTACACATTTAACAAATGCTTTTATCCAGTAATTTACAATGGTAGATGAATTTAACTTCTCATCCATTTAACAATACTAATTTGAACCCAAAATATCACAATACTATATGATACTATATGATGTCTCTCACCTTTACCATGTGCAACGGTCTTACCTGGTTTAGAACGCTTGTTTGTGCCATCTTCACTTGTTGTGTCATCCTTGTCAACACTGTGTTTACGCTTGAGGAAGAAGCTCCGGTTAGTGATGCTGGCAGATCCCTCAGTCTCCCCTTTGCTCTTGCAGCAGGTTTGTCTTTCACTTGGATCATCAATACTTGTGGCTGAAGCATCTCTTGAAATGGCACTCTGGGTGACACTTTTGTTGATGTAGGTCTTGTAGTCCTGCAAAAAAGAACACCGATATCACCGAACAACAACGATATCACCGAGGTGTACAATATGCAAATTATTCTCCAAACAATCATTCACTGTTTTATTGTGTGCTGCAAAAATGCTGCCTGATTACTGATATTCTCTGGGTATTTGGATGACTTCAAGGGTTCTAATGTGTGTGTAATTTTAACTTTTAAATTATAGTTACAGTTTGTTTACATCACTTGCTTACCTTGGACCTTGGTAAAGTGGTAGATCCACCAGTGCTTGAAGAGAGAACACCTTTTACCCTTGTCCTTGAAGACAGCAAGCTTGTATCTTCAAGAATTTTCTTTTGCATATGATCTCTGACTGATTGTAGGAGATCACTCAGCAACTGTAAATAAATGATCAAAATTAAAACAAGAAAATGTACATATAGAACCAAACAGTACACTTCGCATTTCTTATTTGACTAGACTAGTAATTTCTTACTAGACTATGACAACAATACAAGAAAATTCTGCTCACCTTCTGTGCCTCAGTTTTTGCTAGTTTGCTTTCAGGATTCAAAGTAACAGAGATAAGATACTCTGTTAATGCTTCCTCAGGTTTCCCCAGAGCAGTAAGAGCCTGTGCTTTTCTTATGTGTCCCTAAATGACATGTAAAGATTATGATTAGTATCATAAAATCAAATTACATGAATGAGCAAATGCTATTGATATATACACTGAGAGACCAGATTTGCAGTAAAAACAACATGGAAACACTGGGTTGTCTGTGCAACTTTGGGTCCTTTTTTACAACCATAAAAAAGTAAGTATTTACTTTTTATGATCAAGTATTCTGTTTAGAATATACATTATCTACTAGCTTATACAGAGCATGCTATATGTTTCTAACAACTACAACTTGATTATTTTCAATCATATGTTAATGTGATAACAATCCCAAGTGTAGTGTCTTAGATTTAACAGTATTTTTACCATTTTCTATCCATTAATTTTCTTTTGACAAAGGAGTAAAATAGCTTGCAGTACTTAAAAGAGTAACCAAGGAGGTGCTGTAATTACATTCAACTACATAAACACTAAAACATTAAGCAGTAAAGATTGTCATCATGTTAAGATCATATTAGAAACCATTTCAGAAAAATCTAAATTCAGCTATTATCTTCTAGATTAGACTTTGCTCAGCTATTTTAGGTGCTCCACAGCTTCCAGGTGAAAGTATCATCTAAACATGCTTGATCCAGACACTCATATCAGCTGGAACCGAATTACATTGAGGGTCGAACAACTACCAGCAAAAACATCTGCAAAACTGGTCAGCACTGAATGCATCTACTCAGTGTATATGCATGAACTAATGAAATACAAATAAAGTTAATAAAAAACAGGTATGAGCAGCAAAAATGTAATTCTCTGACCTTTTCCCAAAGAGGTTTCAGTTTACAAGCCATGTTAGCATCACTGAGTGCATCCTCAAATCTCTTCAGACTGGAGTTTATCTTTGAACGGTTGCTGTACAACACGTGGTCCTTTGGAGCTGAAAAAAAAAGTTAACATTACTGAGACAGAGACAAAAGTACAGTAGAAGCTATGATGGAAGTTTCCAACAATGACAATGCTCTCCCCTCTAATGAACTCTGTTTATGTAACTGTAAGAATAAGGTCAACGGGGCTCCTTTTACTCTGACACTGCACTCATATTACAGTAGGTGTAGAGGGTGCTTAAAATGTAGCTGAATTACTTCACTGAAGAGTTCCTGTTATGATTTGCTGCCCCACACATCTACCAAACACTTTTTTGAGACCACACATACTGAAGTCATGTGAGGGTATATATGTTTAAGCCATTGGCAGTAAAAATAACCGGCAAATTAAAGTTAATTTCATTGTACATTAAAAACAATCTATATAAAAATACCAAATCTTTTTTTTGACCTACACTATATGGAAGTATTGGGACACAGACGCATTATATCTACAGGAGCTTTTATGACATCCCATTCTAAATTAATAGGCATGGAGTTGCCCCCCCTTTGCAGCTACAGCAACTACCACTCTTCTGGGAAGCTTTCTACAAAATTTTGGGGTATGTCTGTGTGAATTTTTGCCCATTTATCCAGAAGAGCATCTGTGAGGTCAGACACTGAAGTTGGAGGAGAGGGCTTGGCAATCTTCGCTCTAGTTCATCCCAAAGGTGTTAGATGGGGTTGAGGTCAGGGCTCTGTGTGGGCCGGTCAAGTTCTTCCACACCAAACTCACCCACCAACAGTTTGGGGAAGGCCCTTTTCTGTTCCAGTATGACTGTGCTATTGTGCACTGGGGCTCAGTCATGCTGGAACAGAAAAGAGCCTTCCCCAAACTGTTCCACATAGTTGGAAGTACGCAATTGTCCAAAATATCTTTGGTATGCTGAAGCAATAATATTTCCCTTCACTGGAACTAAGGGGTCTAGGCCAACCCCTGAAAAACAACCCCATATCATTGTCCCTCCTCCACCTTTACAGTTGGCACAACGCAGTCAGGCAGATAACGTTCTCTTGGCATTCGCCAAACCCAGACAAACAAAAGCCAGACAGAAAAACATTCATCACTCCACAGCATACGTTTCCACTGCTCCAGAGTCCAGTGGCGGCAAACTTTACACCACTCCATCTGACACTTGGCATTGTGCTTGGTGATGTAAGGCTTGCATGTAGCTGTCTGCCATGGAAATCCATGCCATGGAGCTCCCGCTGCACAGTTTTTGGGCTGATAATGTCAGAGGAGGTTTGGAACTCTGCAGTTACTGAGTCACCAGAGTGTTGGCGACTTTTATGCTCTACGTACCTCAGCACCCAGTGCCCCCTCTGTAACTTTATGTGGTCTGCCACTTCGTGGCTGAGTTGCTGTGGTTCCTAAACACTTCCACTTTTCAAAAATACCACTCACAGGAGACTGCGGAATATCTAGGAGGGAAGAAATTTTGCTAACTGGCTTGTTGCAATGGCGGCATCCTATTACAGTACCATGCTTGAATTCAGTGAACTCTTTAGAGAGATCCTTTCTTTCAGAAAGGTTTGTGAAGGCAGAATGTATGGTACGTGCTTGATTTTATAGACCTGTGGCAATGGGACAGAATAAAACACACACACACACACACACGTACATACATATATATATATATATATATCCTCGTTCCAACTCTTTGTTATACAATCTAGAGAAGGCAGCAGTGCACGCTTATGCAACGGCTGGTCTCCTAGCCTAGATTACATCTTATTCAACTTCCACGCCCCAATTTCCCCGCCTGCTACAAGGTCCTCTTTGGAACGGACTACGTAATCGGATGTCGTCATCATATGCTTATGAAAGCTAAACTTATGACGACGCGCGCTCACGACCCGTTCAGCGCATCTAGTTAACTGACAGGCTCGGGAGAGCCGTCTGTTCTTTTGAAGTTTTACACAACTTTCAGTAATGCGTATTTACATAACGCTCGCTCTTGGCCTCAACGTGGCGCAAACGATCATGACCAGATTTATCCCACATGAGTTGAATGAATGAGCATGCTGACCTACCTATGTGTATTGCTTCGTTGTATTTTTCTAAGGCAGCCTCCAGCTTCCTCTCCGCGTAAAGTCCGTTGCCTTCTCGCCTCAGTCTGAAAGCCTTTAGCTGAGACGGGAACCACTTGGACAGCAGGTTGCTGAGAACCACGTTCACTTTATACTCGTGCACTCCCGTCTCTTTCAAAATGTCCTCAGAGCCTTTGCAACAAGTCTCTGTCGTTTCCTTCTCCAGGCACTTTTTACAAAAACTATGTCCGCACAGCAGCGTGACAGGCTCACAGAGAAACCCGAAACAAATCCCGCAGGCGAAGGTGCTGTCGTCCCCAAGGCGTTCGGTCACGGCCTCCGCGGCGGGGGGTTGGTCGCTTCTGCCGGCGAGCCTGTCCTTCCTCCGTAAAAGCACGGAGAGGCACTGGAGGAGGTTCTCCAGCTGCACGGGCCGGAGGCGGTTGAGCTCCGATGCTCTCTGGTACGTCTCGAACGCCTCGCTCAGCTTTCCGTCAAAAGCCAGCGCGTCAGCTTTCCTCACCAGCAGCTCCTGCTGCACGGCCGGGTCGCTATAGCCCAAGAGCTGGCACTCGTAGATGTCCGCGGCCAGCTCGAAGTTTCGCGCCTGGAACGCCTCGGCCGCGAGCTCCAGCATGCCGTCCACGCTCTCCGTTCCCATGGCAGCGCACGTGGGTTTATTTATTTTCTCTCTCACCCTAAGATATCCTAACCTCTGCTGAGGCGGTTGGCGCTGAACACGTTTCCATGCCCTCGGCTTCTTCAGCTTCTTCAGCTCGTTGCCTTTCTCTCACAGCGAGCCTCGCAAATAGCTCCATCGCTCAGTGATACCGATGGGAGTTGAGAAAAAAAACCTTACATAAAGCGTCATCACGTGGCCACGAGCGGCTATTCCCATTGGATGGGTCACTAAAACTGTTACAAAACAATTCGGTTGTAACACTGGCGCGTCTGGGTGGATATTAAATCGGTCACCCCGGCCTGTCTGTACAGTTCTGCAGCCTTGACGCGAATATCATACTAACATACAGGAGGCGATAGCCTACAATTGTCATGCTTATACAACCAGTGATATTCTGCTTGCATTTAAAGGTAGGTCATGTTGTGACTGTGCAGTCACAAAGGCAATGCATTCAGTCTCTGAATAAGCTTAGTATTGTTCAGAAAAGTTCAGATCAAATATGAAATGCAACGTTGTCATTTGGTCTCAATTCACTGCATACTTTTACATTCTGCAAGAATGATGATTACATAAACTGCCATGGGATATGTAGGTCGTCAAGCATCATATGAACTCAATCCCAGTGTCAGACAGGGTTCTATAATGGGACCAGGGCAACCTTCCTGAGAACATTTTTGATGAGGAAATTGGGCCACGTCTGCTATCCAGCCTGCTAGTCTAGACCTACGTGGGGTAAAGAGCAAGCAATAGGCTTAACCATGGATTTTCCTTAGTCAGCAGGAATTCCAGTCATTACTACTGCAGTGCCCTACTGTTTGAGCAGATGACATGTTAAATGTAATGATTTATTGACCATACTATGGGGAGTTGCTAGTTTATTAGGGACTCATTGGCTATTTTATTACATACATCTACCTTATACACGCACGTTGAAACAATTATTAACTCTAGCCCATCTGTCGCTATACACAATGTCAGCCACCCTCTACCTTGTCCATCAATGGCAAGGAACCACCATACAGCCATCTCTGACCAGATATTATTTAGGTGGTGGTCCGTTCACAGCACAGAAGTTACCCCAACATGGTACTGGCATGTAAGTGTGAATGGTGCTGGTACGAGTGTATTGGGCACAGCAGTGTTGCTTATTCATATTCTCTACGCTGCTTAGGCAAAGCATGAAAAAAAAGTATGTGTAATTAAAAGTAACAATGATTTAATTGCACCAACTGTCATCATTTACAGATTTCTTCTTGACATGAAAAATCATGCTCATTCTGAAGGCAGTTTAAGGAATGTATCAGTCTTGAATCTTAAGAATATTTCGCTTCTCCAAGTCATTCATCTCTTTTAGAATAAGTGCAACATTGTATCGTAGCTCATGAAACTTGGACACAGGAACCTGTAAAAAGAGATAAATGACAGAAATGACTAAAAGATAAAGATGACTGAAGATAAACAAATAAAAACAGTATAAATACACATGCATACACACATTTTGTGTGTAATAAGCCAATTTAAATATGCTAGATGTTTCAACCTTTGTGATTTTTGGTGCATTCTGATATCATCACAGTCACAACAAAACCTACCGCTGTGTGTAAAAAATCATCTTAAAATTTCACAAACAAAAGACTGACATATATAACATGTTATATTACCTTACATTGAAAGTTAAGAATGTTTTTTCCTTCTCTTGTAAATTTACAGATATATGTGGTATACTAGTCCATCTGACCAGTAATCATGATGTCCTGAGCACACAATTACTGTCTATACAGACAATAAGCTGTCGTTTAAAACATTTGGAATACTGGGTTTATATGTCAGTGGCAAAAGGAAGCATGCTCTGGAAACTTCAGTCTAAGTCCATGACCATGAGTTGGTTTCTCAGTAAAAAATAATTAATAAATAAACCATTTAAAACACTATCATTCTTAATTACCTCAAAGCGATGAACATTTCCATCCGAAAGTTTACACTGCATTAGAACAGATGGCTGCAAAGCTCGAGCCAAGGAACTGAAATACACAAAGATGATTAACAATGTGTGAGTGTGTAACAATAAATCAATGAAAGCATGATTTCAACTAAATGAAGCAGGCAGTACATTAATACTACTTTTCAGAAAATCTATTCTCAGAAGTACAAAAATTAAAAATAAAGGTGCTAAAAGTGTTCTTTGGAGTGATAAGAAGGGCAACAAAATTAAGTTCCCTAAAAACATTTAAATGGATAGTTCTTTACAGAACTCAACTGAAACCACTTCTCCACTTTTGGAGAAGCAAACTGGCTCCAAAGAACTCTCTCATTCCTTTATTTTTAAGAGCGTATTTCTCAGCTTCTCTCAAGAAGTTACCCTTAGCATTGGAATGGCATGCACACTCTACTCTTCTCAGTTTGTTTATATCACTTCGGTGGGGGGGTTTACAAAGGAGGATTAATGCAAGCCAAAAGTCAAGCCTGACCAATAGGAGAAGAGCTCAGGGTCACTGCTATTGGGCAGTTCTCACTTTTGGCTTAAGTTATCCAGCTTCCTGATAAACTGTGTTTTAGGAAATCCCCACCAGGTCTGTTCAGAGGAATGGTTTACTGAAAATTCAATTTCCACAACCTCTCCTCTTTAATCCAAATGTAGTCAACCAGCCTGTCAACCTTTATAGGCTAATAACCACAGACAGAATAATTTCTATTACTTGTCAGCGACAGTAGCCTCGCAGCTCCAGTGCAAAACTGAAGACAAGCTTCAGACACCAAACATGTTGCTGCTGATGGACTGCAGTTGGGGTAAAGGAGTGAAATTTGTAAGTTAGATTTTTTGCTGAACCATTTCTTTAAGCATAATGTTGTACCTTGTTGAAATGGCAACATCCACCCTCCATCTGAATTCCTCTAAACTTGGTAATCTTGGGCCTTGCTGTGTGAAAACAGCATCTAGTGCTGATCGTCTGACAGAGGAAATTAGAAAACACACTTTAGCACTGCAAAATTTAACACCCGTTTAACATTTCCTTTAATTAAAAATAGGCAGCAAATGAGTAAAAATGAAAAATGGACTGATAGCTTATCCATTAAATAGGAATTCAAATATGTGTATCCTGAAAACATTAGGGGTTTAAACTTTTTTGTCCTGCATTCCAGCATCTGTAAATTAATTTTGTATGTGCGTGCTCTTTAAGCAGCATCTACTTTTGTGGATTTATGTATTACTTTTAAAATAACAGCATACATGTATTGTTTTTACTTGTAAAACAAATACACATATTACAAAAAACATTGTTATTTAAAAGTTTAGTTAGCTTTTGGAAGTTTTTTAGCTCTTTGAAGTTTATTTAAAAATGTACCAAGTTTTTGTTTTGCCATCTGAGCACTCCGTGCTCTTTATTATTTGTCATTTGTTTCAAGGACGTGTTTATTAATTCCATATTTGTCATTTTTGTTATTTTGAGGAGAGCTGTTCACATGTTAGCTGTGTACAAGTTGCTTACAGCAACAAAAATATCAGCCTCATATCTCAGTCATTGGTCTCCTCGTTTACTAATCATTGGTATCAGAAAATTAAAAAAAAAAAACTAAAAAAAAAAACACTGGTTGTCCCCAGAAAAGCAAACACAAAACATAGGTTAAACTCCGGTCAATCTAATATACATTACTTAGCTTTAGTACATACCTATTCCCAAAGACAACACTGGCAAAATCTGCAATGAACTCCTCAGAAATCCTGTGTATTAGCAAAAGTTATCATCAGTGTTTCATCATATACTCACTATAACAAATTTTAAAACCTTGTTATTAAACAAATCATAACCTTCTCTTACCTAAGCTCCCGGAGCTCCTCTTTGAAACCCTGAGGAAAATAAATAGATGTATTTAATTCAAGATATTTCCTTGGCAGTATACTTCTCTGAGGTTAACAAATTGAACAGTTAAAGATCACTGCAGCTTCATGGTAGAACATTGACCCGCTATATGACATTACATATACTACTTTTTTGTATTATTGAGTTATTCCCATTTTTCATTAATCTCTGCAACATGAAAAAAATTACAACAGCATGAAACCATTACATACAGAAAAGCAATTTAATAAAACACTAAAATAAGATTGGTGCATCTTCCTGTGACCAAAATAACAGTCCTCTTATTATAGTAGTCCTCTTCTATAGTCAGTCTGTCCAGGAATTTGTGATCACAAATTCATGCAAACTCAACCAACTCTTTCAACATTTGCAAGGGCTCTCAATTTTTTTCCCCATCAATGCATTATTTTTGCAAATGTGAAAAAGTGCTTTCAAAATTATTATAAGCATGATGTCTTTTGCACAACATGCTGTGTGCCATGCAGACCATGTGCAGGTTTTTGCAGTGAGGTGTGTGGGGGGTAAAATCAATAATCTTTCCTGAGTATTTAAGCGTAGAAAAATGATGTATACTTTGTAGTATCATTACATCATTTCACTATACAATATTGAAAACTTTTTTTCCTTTGAGAATTTAAATCAGTGTTAAAATTTCCAGTCTGTATATTGTATGTACATAGTTTTTCAGAGGTAGACTTAATTACCCATTTGCTTCTCCCTTGTTTTCATCTGGAACAAATTAGGCTACATTCAAAACAAGCTAAAAAAATATAACAGTCATCCGAAATTTCTGCAGTTTTATTGCAAATTCATTCTAGTTGCTAATGATCATGGGTGTAGACTAGCAGTGTACATACATACACATTATACATATATATATATATATATATATATATATATATATATATATATATATATATATATATATATATATATATATGTGTGTGTGTGTGTGTGTGTATATATATATAGTCTATATATCCAGTATACCGGTTCAAATTCTTCCTCTGTTATAATTTATGATTTATGAGTGACATTTCAAATGAAAATGAAAACACAGCAGTCCCTCGATCACCTCCCACTGTCTAGTCCGTTGCATCTGAAGTAGACAAACATTGTTTTCAAGGCAGCAGTTCATTTTGGTTTCTAATGTTTGCTGTCTAAACTGAAGTTGCTTAAAACTTGCTAACTGTCTAAACTAGCAGTTGTTTTTAGTTTCTGTTAGCCAGTTCAATGTCATGTGTTAAAAACATGAAAACATGCAATATATTTGCCTTAATGATTTATTTAAAACATTAAAAATAAATGATCAATATGATAAATGATCAACGCCACAAATTTTAACACTGTTAAAACATTGTCCTAATATGACCCTTCAAACATGCGTAATTCCAGCCTGAAGCCCAGCTGCTTGCATGCTACTGCTATGTCTCTGCCACTGTCCCTCTTTTTCAAATACATCTTTTACAATATATATATATATATATATATATATATATATATATATATATATATATATATATAATATATATATATATATATATATATATATATATATATATATGTACACACACTGCAGATCAAAATTAGAGAACAACACACAATTTCCTAAATGTCAAGGTCACTGTGTAGTCCTATGTGAATTTGTCCTAACAGGAGTAAAAGAGCAGTATTCTAAGCTTATTTCATGAGTTGTATATATTCTAAAGCACAGTATAAAAAACTTAAATGAGATAATTGAAAAAGAACGCTGATCAAATTTAGAGAACACTTTCAGATACCTGCAAGTTATTGGTGTTAATCTGGCAACTGGTGTTAATTTCCTTAATTATCTGACAAACACTATTTAGCTGGCAGCTAAATAGTTTGCAAGATGGTGAGCCGTTCCAAAGTGACTGAAACCCTCTGGCAGCAGGGTGTCCAGATGAAGGCCAAAGGGGTGACCCTATCAGCCATAGCAAGAGAAGTTGGTCGTTCCAAGTCTGTGATTTCTAGAGTATTGCATCTTTACAACATCACAAACTCATTCAAGTCCCCCAAGAAGGCTGGTCGCCCACGAAAGACAAATGCAAGAGAGGACAGGATAATGCGGAGAATTTCCAAGGGTAATCGGTTCAATGCTGCAGCTGGAATTGCTCGCCAGTTCA